AATCCTAAGGAAGGGTCATGGATCTCAGCTTCAAGGTGGGGGTGGGTTGCAGAATGAGTTTAGTTACTCCTAGAACAACTATCTCAAGGGCTGACAGGTCTTTCACAGCAACCTCGGCCCATGGCCAAAACTCCCACGACTGCATATCTTGCTTCTAGAATGAGTGCTTGCAGGTGCTTGAGCACTTGCACTTGATGTCAGTGCTGGCCCAGGTAAGGGCATAGGAGCATGCAGCCAGCAGCAAGGATGGCTCCTGGAGGTGAGTGGTAAGTGGGTGGTCTCACACTGTCACATCCCCTCATGAGGATGAAGAGGTTTCAAACGTAGGCTGCAAGATCCAGTGCCTCTGCACCACTCAGCTAAACCCAAACTTCTTGCTTTCCCCGTGACCTCCAGACAACCAGGTTCTCTGAACTTCTCTCTGGACCCACAGACTTCCCTCCCTGTGCGGTCCGCTTCCCATAAGGCCTCTGCCATCCTCCCGAGTCTCCCAAATGGTACCACACTACAGAGTGGACTCCAAGGGTTAGAACAGTTGGTACACCACCTGGGTATAACTTCATCAGGAAACAGCTTTCAGGAGGCCTAACCCCTCACCAGTTGCAGCTTTGTCTCCTCCCTCCTAAGCGCCTGATAAAGTACTAAGTCCACAGTGGAAGACATCACTTTGGCTCTCTGTTATTGCCAGCAGAGGACCACCAGTGAAAGGGACCAAGGACGACTTGCCTCTGCAGTGTTCCTACAGATACATTAAACCTAACTCTCATCCAGTGGAAGCAGCAGGTAAGAGAAATGCAGGGAGTCTATACACCCAATCTGTCTGGGCCTCCACAAGCGTTACCTCTCCAAAGACAGAGGAGTAACAGCCAAAGTATACCTTAATAATTCAATGCAGGAGTCTATACTGGGGCCTGGATCAGTGTCCACCCCCGACCTGTCACTTTGGGACGGATGAGAAGTTTAAGTCTACAGTTCTAAGACAGCATGGGGACACTATCCATTTGCTGATCATGACTGTTGCAGGTGGCTGGGAAGATGTTTTCACTCTCAGGTAACACATGCTGCAGTGTTAATAAGGGGTGGGTCTTATGAGAGTCCCTGTCCACACTGGCATTTCAAGCAGGCTTGCCCTTGCTTGTGTCTTATTTAGGTGACCATATTGAGATTTCATGGGGCAGCTTCCCTGTCCTAGAAGACACAATCTCCCAGCAAATGTCCTGTTCCTCTGGTTTGTAACCCATCACCCAGTGACGTTCTCTGACCATCTTATGTATTAAAGCAAAAGAGAACATGAAATTGGATGAGTAGGGAGATGGAGGAGGATAAGGGGAGGGGAAGAAATATGATGAAAACAAATATATGAAAGTCTCAAAGAATTAATAAACTTTTAAAAATAGAATAAGCTAAGGGAATCATGGAGAAAACAACACAATACACATTGAAAGCACATATGACAAGACACTTATACTGTGTGCCGAGGTGGCATATTAAGAAAGTGCTCTGTGTGTTTATTGAAATTTATCAAAATGGAAAGTTGCCCCGATTCCTACAATATAGAGCATACATGTTCCCAGTGACAGTTTCCCGCAGTGTGCATATATGTTCTAATGATAGCTGCCCAAAGTGCACATACATGTTCTAATGACAGCTGCCTGCTGTGTGCATAACTAATGATGGGTGCCAGCAGTGCTGCCCTAGGAGTCCAGCAGTCTGGGGTGTACAGGACCGGGCATTCACTGGGTTCAGTCTCCACAACTCCAGCTCATGCTGCCCCCTTGTTCTTAAAAGTACTCTATCTACAACAACTATAAAAAACAGCATCTCTGTTCTCCTAACAGGCAACTTGGGAAGGTATCCCATCAGGCTTTGTAAGGCTGATGGCAATAAAAGCTAACTAACACTTGAGAGAAGATAACTACCCCTGTACGGACACTAAATTTTAGAAGCTTCCGTGCACCCTCACAAGTAGGTGAGGGATAACACCAGCTCAGCAACGGGGCATCTGAAGTCATTATTCTCCCACTTCCTGCCTGGCTTCCTGTCCCCAGTGTTCAACAATGGACCATTCGTGTGATGACAGACAACGGGCTGCTCTTCTAACCAGCAAGACTGGTGGCTGTGGCTTTAGAGGTCACTGTGTCACTGTCCCTGAGTTTGAGTTTGACATTTTGAACTGGCTGCTGACACCTACCATTTGGAGACTATATGCCTTCGTTTTTAGAGGAATTAGAGTCTAAGCTAGAATCTATCCCTGCCCCCACTCCCCTCCTCCCCAGCCAATTGAGAAAGCTATAAAATCCTCTCTCCGTGACTGCACTTCAGCACTGGGTTAAGATATGCTAAGGGCTGGCAAGCTGGCTCAGCTGGTAAAAACACTTGTCACAGAAGCTTCGTAGTCCAAGTTAGACCCCCCCCCCCAACGGAGCCTACATAAAAAAGCTGGGAATGACTATATGTGCACCTGTAATCAAAGGACTGGGGAGATGGGAGGCAAAGGAAGGACAATTGCCCAGATGCTGGCAGGCCTGCCAATTTGAAGCAGAGAACTACTCCCAAAAGTTGTTCTCTGACCTCTACACATGCATAGTGGCCCACAAGGTGTACACACACACATGCACATGATAAAAGATATACAAAATAAAGTCTAAAATCTTGTAAAATGGTGCAGTGATGTTTATTTACTCTTATTGTATTAAAAAGATGGGAAATAATAATGACCAGCCTGGTCTACAAGATCTGGTTCCAAGACAGCCTCCAAAGCCACAGTGAAACCCTGTCTCAAAAAAACCAAACCAAACCAAACAAAAGCAACAAAACAGATGTAACCATCACAATACACATGAAACTATACAATAACACTATCAGGAAAGCAGGAGGCAGACCACACATAGTCATGGTCTCATGGTCTCCTCTACAAGGTCAGCTGGGTGAACGAAGGATCTCGGACGGTCCATATGTCATCATCATAGAACTTGAATCATTCATCACCTGGATGCCTCCCTTGAGGGGCCAGCCATAGGATGTGACTGCACTCTCACTAGCTATCCCTCACGTTGACCATCCTTAACCACTCACAGCCCCCAGGGAGCTGTATCAAGCAGGCCTATCTTGGAGGGCCTCCTAGTCCTCTGTCCACACCTTATGGTGCAACATGAAAGTTGTACAAAATAATCCATCAAACGCCTGGTTCTGCAGACAAAGGCTTTGATATAACCAAGAGTGGGGTGTAATGCCAGCTCATCTCAGTGTACAAGTCCCAGCAGTACAAAGACCTGCCCACAAGCCGAGTCCCTCCTGAGGCATCCCCACCCACCAGATCCAGCCCTGAGGGCATCTACAGTGCTTGAAGACAGATATAGCATCATAGCCAGTTCCTATCTAGACTTAGATGTCTCTATGTTCATCAGAAATAGCACGCGGTGGTTTGGAAGAAAAGGAGGTGTGGCCTTATTGGAGGAAGTGTGTCACGGTGGGGATGGGCTTTGACGTCTCTTTTGCTCAAGCTTCCCTCAGTGTGACAGAGAACTTCTTGTTGCCTCTAGTCAAGATGTAGGACTCTCAGCTCCAGTACCACATCGGACTGCACGTTGCCAGGCTCCTGCCATGCTACCCACTATAACGGACTGAACATCTGAAACTGTAAGTGAGCCCCCCTCAATTAAATACTTTCATTTATAACAGTTGCTGTGGTCATGGCTTCTCTTTATAGCAATAAAACCCTAAGGCAGCATGTCCCTCTGGACCCAACTCCAGTCCAAGACTCAAATGTAGTTCCCCACTTTCTTAAACAACCCCATGTCCCCTATCCCTGCCTTCAACGGAAGGACCAGGCTCCTGAACACCATGGCCACATGCAGTCAACAATCTCGGTTACCACAGAAACACTGAAATCCCAATAAAGGATATGAAGCAGGGGGATGAGTGGATATAACTTCAGTGGTAAATTATGAAATCAACCAATCTTCCCAAGAGATTGCCATTTTGGATCTAGGCTAAGGAATTTAAATTCTGTGAAGTGATCCATGTCAGGAGGGGGATGCCAGGCTTGTGCCAGCTAAACACAATATCACAAAAAACTCCTCAGTCCATTCATCAACGTGACAGTTCCCACTTAATGACAGAAGCATGGCTGTGGTGCACTACACATCCCCCAACACACCCCGCGGAAAAGCAGGAAGGGGAACTGAAATTATTCTCAAGGTCCAGGACTCCCTGACAGTTTTGCTACTCAGAAGAAAGAAGGATCCTCAGTGGGGGGGTGGGAAGGGTTAGGGCGGTGGCAGTGGTGGTATCCCTGTGTGTCTGAGGAAGGCCTGAGCAGCCCTGCGGGAGGAAAAAAGACCCCAAACAGTTCATGATGAACACTCACTGGACCAACTGGCTAAAACAGGAAATGTCTATGTAAAGATATAAACACCTCAGGGTCCTATGCCAGGCATCTCTCCAGAGAGCAGAGAGCCAAAGTTACCTGAGGACACTTTAAGTAACTGGTCACCCAACTGGGGAGTACCAAACAGACAAATGTCTTCATTCCATCAGAAAAGCATCAAAATGTATATATAGTCAAGAACACACCTGAGAAATCTAAGGAGCAGCCAGCTATCCTTATTGAACCTTCACATCATAAACTATTGATTACTGGTCTCCTCATACATTTCAATAGCCAAACATGAAATGCCCTCAGCACCCCTTTCTGGGAGTCCTGGCTGAGTGACAGTGTAGAATTTAACAGCTCTAACTACAGGGAGAAGCACCTTCCATGCATTGAAAAACCACATGCTCCATATTTATGTGGGACTATTTCAAAATGCAACTAAATAACCTTTTTAAAGAACTTTAAGAACTGATACTCTGAGGTCTCACACACATAAAATACCTCTGGCAGCTTCACCATGTATCTTAATTAAAGGCAAGAACTCAGATGCAGGAGCAGAAATAAGGAGAGAAGTGAAGTAGCTTGCCAGTCTCCTTTTTTTATGGAGGTGGGAAGGGGTCCTTACCCTCCTTCTGTAAGATTCGTTGAACTCGTCTCCAATCCGCCGAAGCTCCTGTGCAATCCATATCTCCGGGCGGATATCTGCAGGTTCCTCCTGAGATTGCCTTATGGAAGCTGTGTGGGGACAAAGAAACCAGAAATCACGCCAGGGTTCACAGCACTGACAACATCATACATGAGTTTCCAGGAACAAACCCATCTCACACACACTCATCCTTCTGGAAGCTCTCAATCTAGTGTTAAGAATGGTGAAGAAGCATCATTTTAGTCAATGTCCTAGTTAGGTTTCTGTTACTGAGAAAAGGGTTTATTTGGCTCACACAGTTGATCACAGTCCATCAATTGTGAGAAGTCAAGGCAGAGGCTCAAGGAGCAGAGAGGCAAAAGCAGCAATATTACTTACTGGCTGGCTCAATATGGCCTGCTAAGTCTGCCTTCCTTCCTTCCTTCCTTCCTTCCTTCCTTCCTTCCTTCCTTGGTTTTTCAAGACAGGGTTTCTCTATGTAATAGCCCTAGCTTTCCTGGAACTAGCTCTGTAGACCAGGCTGGTCTCGAACTCAGAGATATGTCTGCCTCTGCCTCCCCAGTGCTGGGATTAAAGGTGTGCACCACCTAAATCTGCTTTCTTATACAACCAGGACCACCTGCTCAGGCTGGCCCTGCCTAAAGTGGGCTGGGCCTTCCCATATCAATCATTCATCAAGAATCTACCCCACAGATTTCCCTGTAGGCAACCTGATGGTAATTGAGGTAATTCCTCAATTAAGATTTCCTCTTCCCAGGAGACTGGAGCTTGTTGACCAAACAAACAAAACAGAACCAGCAATCAGTGTCTAAGTGACACAGAATAACTTCACAGAATTGGATACTCAGATTTACAAGAATTAAAAACATCCTGGCCCAGCCATACATACCCTTATTTCAAAAAGAATCCTCAACAGCCCAATGAAGCTCTCCAAAGAAACATGATAGGGACTGGTGACATGGCTTAGTCACAATGGCACTTGCTGCCAAGCCTGACAACCTTGAGTTCCATCCCCAGAATCCACATGATGAAAGCAAGGAACTGACTCCCACAAATTGCCTCCTGTCTTACACATGCACACAAACCAAAAGTAATAATGTTTTTTTAAAAGAAATCAGTAGCCAGGTGGTGGTGGTGTATGCCTTTAATCCCAGCACTTGGGAGGCAGAGACAGGCAGATCTCTGAGTTCAAAGCCAGCCTGGTCTACATAGGAAGTTCCAGGATAGCCAGGGCTACATAGAGAAACCCTGTCTCAAAAATAAATAAATAAATAAATAAATAAATAAATAAATAAATAAAAACAATCTGCCTAGTATTCATGGGGTCCCAAGAACTACACTAGGGAAAAAAATAAATAAAACACCAGAGAACATAAAATTTTAGTTTCTCAGTGAAGTACCCATCTTAGAACAAGGTACATATTCCAAGAAAAATTCTGGAAGTGGGTTTCTACAGAAGCAGGTTCAGCAATACCAAAAACTCATCCAAATGGGAGCATAACTGCATGCTTTGATGTAATTATTACTTATCAACAAAGATAGACTCAAGCCTGAAAACACCACACCAGGGGAGGAGGTGTTTTGGATCTGGGAGTAAAGGCACTTTTGACAAGAGACAAAAAGATTGGATCCTAGCAGGATATGGGTGAGTTCGAAGCCAGCCTGATCAACATATATACATCTGTGAGTTTCAGGTAAGCCTGAGCTACATAGTGAGACCCTGTCTCAAGAAAAAAAACAAAACAAAACAAAAAACAAACCACATTAGGAAGTTAATGCTGTAACAACACAAGAACACACATTGCTCAGAGTAGGTAACAGCCCAGGAAGAGACAGGGCTCCTAGAATCCATTTACAACCTCTCATTTAAAAAATAAGCCCAAGGAACTTCCAACTAAATTTCCCATTCACTCAGTAAAGCAGTAAAAAACCTAAGATCCTTGGATTTCATAAAAACATTAAATCTTTTTTTTAATTTTGTTAAGTGGTCCATAAACTGCATAATCATAACTCTACAAAAGGACATGCATGCGAACACATCAAGATAATTCTTTCCAAAACTCTTGTCACATCATCCCTAAGCAAGGAGCAGCAGTGGGCCAGCAGAGTGAAGGATGGGCTCAGCATACAATCCCAGCGCTACAGAACCCGAGGCAGGACGACAGTGCTGGGCTACATAGTAAAGTTTTATTGACATGAGAAAAGAAAAAGAATATCAAGTGCTTGAAAGAGAAGCAGATATTCTGTAAGGCCTCAGAACATCAGAGGGGATGTAACCACAGGAAGTTTTAATAGAGACAGGAAGTCTTATGGAGGAGTTAAATTTTTAGAGTAAGTCACATCCATACATTTTTAGCATAAATATTTCTAATATTAATGTTACTATTAATGCTACTAAAACCGAAGTTTAAATAACTGGCAAAAAAAGAAAAAAAATCAACAGTAGACACCATGCTAGGTGATGACATCAGTTCCCTGTCTCTTCCTGGGTTCTTGGCTTTTTAAGGACTTGGTTATCACAGGAGACAAATCACTATTTTTGCTTGACAATCTGGTTATATAGCTCAGACACCTCTCAGTCCTCCTCTGTCACCTAAGTGCTGAGAAGACAAGCAATCACCACCACCCCGGGTCATGACTAAAGTTTTTATACCATGTGCCATCAAGCACTCTCTCCGACTTAGGGGCCCTTCTGATGCGTGTCCTTATGGGGAGGCACCTGTTACCTATACAGCTGAGCAGGGCAACGAGGTACTGTGCCACCCTGAAAGATCCCATCACCCAATACACACTGAAGAGATATCTAGCTTCAACTCTGGAGTTGGAAATAAAGAAAATCCAATTGCTGAAAAACAATGGGGGAAATCATATGCTTTATTTATAAAGTTGGTGGGGTGATCAAACTTGTGGGACAACTTACCCAATGTTCAATATGGGGAAAGAGTCACTGATTTACTCGAGGAATGACCACAAGCCATGTCGTTCTAGGAGGCCAAGCTGAGGTCTCATGGACCTGAAGTTCTGGTGGACTAACATAATAAATTTCTTCTCTCTCTCTTTCTCTCCCTCCCCACCACAGACAAGGTCTTATGTAGCACAGGCTGACACTGAACTCCTGGTCTTTTGCTTCCACTTCCCAGGTGCTGGGACTACAGGTGTGTGTCACCATTTGTCCAAACTCAAGATCCATACAACACGGTTCACACTTGTGTCTTGGTCTGTTCAAAACCTTCACACAAAAAAATTACGTTAGCTCTTAGCAAGCCCTTCTGAACTAGAGGAAGCTTGCCTTCTGTGAGTCACCTAATGTCCCTTGCCAAAGGGCATTTGGGGATGGTTCGACTTCCTTTCTCTTGACTGGACCTTCTCATGAAGCAGCATGGCCTTTCCTATGTGTCTCTTGTCTGAAGCTATATTGCTCTTTATGGAGAGAACTAGGCTTTAATAAGCAAAGCCATCTTCTTCCATTGTAGCACAAAACAATGACTAACTCTGACTAATGCCTCCACATTGGAAAGGAAGCCTTTTGGCCTTCTATCTAATTCTTCCCTCACAGGTATGCTTGCTTCAGAAGGTAGTCTGTTTCATGCTTGCCTGGGAACTTCACAAGTTGACTTATCAAAACTCGCACTTAGCAAGCACACCGATACTGCTGCTAGCAGCTATGGGTCTCCGGTGGCCAAACTCAACTTGTTAGGAGATAAATGCCCTGTTGTTTGAGTAGATAAGCAGATAGCCTGTTTCTCCCATAAAGAACAGCTCGACGGCTGTTAGTACATGTAGGTGCATAGATATAAACAGATCTCCAGAGCCCAGCAGGGAGGCTCAGGGTGGGAGGGCATGGAAGCCGGAAGGTCCACAGACCAGATTCTGAAAAAACACTGAACAAAGGATCAGAAGCAGTGGCTAAGTCCGTGGCCCTGATCTGTGATTTCTGAGAGCACTTAAGAGCCAAGAGGGTGTATTAACCCAAGATAATGGTTAGACTAAGCTTAGTCTACACTGTAATTGGCAGGCAATAGCTTGGGTTAGTAAGCAGGCTACCAGCTGTACTTAGGTGTAATTTTAAAAAGTTGTTACAAAACAGTATTGTACAGTATAAACACCACTAACAGAGGAGTCTAGTGCACTCCAACATTCCACCCAGCCTTGGTTTTTTTTTTTTTGGGGGGGGGTGTCTCACTATGTAGCCCTGGCTGAGCTGGGACTGGCTATACAGACCAGGCTGGCCTCAAACTCAGGTTCATCTGTCCTTGCCTCCTGAGTGCTAGGATTAAAGACATGTATACCCCCCTGGCTGGTTGCCTTTTTTTTTTTTTTAAGAAAAAAAAAAGATTGTTTATTTCCTTTTGTCTGTGATGTTTGAGATCCCAAGGCATCCAATGTGATAGGCAAGTGTTCTACCACAGAGCCACAACCTCCAGGATAGTTGTGTTTTTCATTTTTTGTGTATTTTTTATTTTATGTGGATAGCTGTTTTTGCCTGCATGAATTTATGTGTACTGTGTATATGACTGGTGTCTGCAGAGACTAGATGAGAGTGTTAGTCCCCTTAGAACTAGGGTCACAGACAGCTGTCAATTGCCATGAGGGTGCTGGGAATTGAATCTGGGTCCTATTTGAGAGTAGCCAGTGTTCTTTACCGCTGAGCTATCTCTCTCTGGCCCTCTTGGGTATTTTTTTTAACTGAGAAGCAAATACTATTCCTCTGATCTAAACTGAAAATTAACGGCTAGTATCTGCTCCATAAGGCACAGGTAATATGCACACAGTAGATAGGCACTAAGCTAGACACTACGGTTAGTTAGTTAGTTGTACACTTAAAAAAAAAGACCTTTGTGGATGTGTCGATGTGTGTGAGTATGTGTTTATATGCTGGTGTGTGAACAGTCCAGAAGAGTGAGGTGAGTGTCAGAATCCATCCTTCTCTGCCTATTGCTTTTTGAGGCAGGGTCTCTCCCTGAACCCAGCTCACATTTTCCTCCATTAGGCTGGAAGGCAGAAGACCCCAGAAATCCTGTCTCTGCTGCACTCAGCCAGGGTCACAGGCATGGGTGCAGATGCTGGGATCTGACCTCGGAACTTGATG